GTGTGCTCTTCCGATCTGAAAAATGATTATTAAATGTCCTACGTGCGCAGATCATTTAGATTACAGGCATTTACAATTACATATGAAAGTAATTCACCGTGACACTGGCACGAAAAGTTTCTTATGCACGGAAAAATCGTGCAATTGTTTATTTTCACAACTTAATTCGTATAAAAAGCACATAAATATTGATCATTCAAAGCAAAACAAACGTGATTGTACCCCACAAATTGTAATCGATTCGAAAATAACCTCACATTTCAATGAGTATAATCTTGAAAGTAAAAAAATTGAAATACTTCAGGAAGAAAATGTTAACTTTAATCAAAAAAATTTAGCAACACAAAATCTTGAAAACGCTGCTCTCGGTGTGACTTCAAAATTCTACGCCGATAGTACACTCTCCCGAATTCAAACGCAATATGTTATAAATACTTTTAACTGTTTTTTAAATAATAGTTATGTAGACGAATTAAAAGCACTTGTTTTAGATTCTGCTTGTGAAGAAAATAAAGAAGTAATTCGGGAAAAGTTTGAAGCATTACAAAACAGTTTTCTTTCGATCGGATCAGAACATAAGAGATTTAAGAAATTAGAAATCAACGGTTGGCTTATCAAACCAGAACGTATTTTATTGGGTTGTCAAGAAGTAAAAGCTAAGCATGGTAAATTAGAAAACACGAAAGTATTTGCTGCATACATTCCTGTAAAGTCCACTTTAAAAGCATTTATTACTGCTCCGAAAGTTCTACAAACTATTTTAAACTATGTTTCATCTCTCAATGAATGTAAAGATCGAGTTGAAAATCTGATACAGACTGATTTTTGGAAAACCAAGACATCTACTTTGAATGAAATTATTTTACCTTTGTTACTTTACCAAGATGATTTTGAAACTGGTAATCCTTTGGGGTCACGCTCAGGTATCCATAAGTTGTCCGGTTTATACTTCTCGATTGCTTGTTTACCCCCCGAGTACAAATCTAAATTACAAAATATATTTTTGGCACAACTTTGTCATTCCAGTGACATTAAATCTTTCAATTCAAATGTAATATTCAAAAAATTAATTATGGATTTAAATGATTTACAGCGTGAAGGAATTGAAGTTATATTCAATGAAAAAAAAGTAAATGTTCGCTTTCAAGTGATCGCATTCATTGGAGATAATTTAGGATTAAACTGCGCCTTTGGATTCATAGAAAGTTTTAATACTGGGTATTCGTGCAGATTTTGTAAAATATCAAGTACAGCACGCAAATCTCTGTGTATTGTAGACGAATCAATAGTACGAACAGAGCAAATATATAAAGTAGATGTCGATAAGTGTCTGTATAAAGAAAGTGGGATAAAAAAAACAAGCGTTTGGAATGATTTAATCGGATTTCATATCATAAATAATCCGTGTGTCGATATAATGCATGATCTGTTGGAAGGAGTCTGTAAAGATGAAATGATGCTAATTTTACGTTACATGATTTTTAAGAAAAAGTATTTTAGTTTACGTACATTAAATAATAGAATAAAATATTTTGATTTTGGAAATGGGAACTGTACGCCACCGTTGATAACTTTCCACGAATTAAAAACGTCTAATTTAAAAATGTCAGCGTCGGAATCAAAATTTTTCTTTCTTAATGCACCCTTAATTTTTGGAGACTTAATTTTAGAAAAAACTAATGATTACTGGAAAATGTATATATTATTACGACAAATTTTATGCTTATGTTTAAAACCATTCACCACTTTTAACACACCGGACACTTTAACAAATCTAATAGAAGAACATCACAGGCTTTTTATAAAACTTTGCGGTGATTGTTTGAAACCAAAACATCATCACATGTTGCATTATCCACAAATCATCCAAAAAATTGGACCACTTCGTCAAGTTTGGGCAATGCGATATGAAGCAAAACATCGCGTATTTAAAAAAATTGCAAACGCTTCAAGTAACCGCATAAATATTTGTTATTCATTAGCCATGAAGCATCAATTAATATTCGCTGATAAGTTATTGGAAAATTCATTTTTCTTCGATGACATAACTTTTAAAACATGTACAAAGCATACAGCACTACCGATCGCTGCAGAACTTCAATTA